TGTTGGGTTCAAAAGACAGATGAAAAACTGTTTTGAAATGAGTGATTTGGGGCTTCTAACATACTATTTGGGAATAGAGGTGAATCAAGACAAAACTGGCATTACTTTGAAGCAAACAGGATATGCAACAAAGGTTCTAAAAAATGCAAATTTGTGGGAGTGTAATCCTGCAAAATTTCCTATGGATCCAAGTCTCAAGCTTGGAATAGATGAGGAGCTGGAGTCTGTTGATGCAACTGAGTACCGAAGGATTATTGGGTGTCTTCGATATCTAACCCATACAAGGCCAGATATGAGTTATGCAATTGGAATAACCAGTCAATTCATGGAGTCACCAAAAACACCACATATGCAAGCTGTAAAACATGTGCTGCGATATCTGAAGGGTACAATCAATTATGGGATTCGATACAGGAGGAATGGCGATGCAGATTTAGTTGGTTATAGTGACAGCTCACATGCGACTGATCGGGCAGATGGAAAGAGTACAACTGGGATAATTTTCTATAATGGGGGTGGTCCGATAGCATGGTGCAGCCAAAAACAGAACACGGTTGCACTATCTTCATGTGAGGCTGAGTTCATGGCGGCAAATGTCAAGCTGTCTGGTTAAAAGGTTTGCTTGAAGAAATCACTGGCCAAAGCATGGAACCCATAACAATTCACGTGGATAACAAGGCTGCAATCATGTTAATGAAGAATCCAGTGTTCCATGGGAGAAGTAAGCATATTGACACTCGATATCATTTCATTCATGAATGTGTCGAGAAAGAGCTAGTAAGGATTGAGCATGTAAGTGGTGACGAGCAGAAAGCTGATATCTTGACAAAAGCATTACCGAGGGTCAAGTTTATCGAGATGAGGCAACTGATGGGCATTGAAGATTTGGCAGGAATGAGGACTGGAATCAAGGGGGTGAATGTTGGTTAATTCCAGTCCAGAATTAAGTTTAAATTTATAAATAAAAAAAAGGACAGGCAATTAGGCAGTTACAGGCAGTTTTATGACAGTTTCCAACAGATGTGTTGGTTAGGAACTGTTGTGTCTATTTGTAATGGTTGTGTTGTTTAGTCCTCTATTTATATGTATGGAAACATAGTTCTGGACAGCAGTTCCACAATAAAAAACACTTTGTTTATATACTCCAGAGTCCAGATCTGATTTTTATTCTCTCAGCTCTAACTATGACATACAAACACATGTTTAGTTCATTAATTTCTTTTCCCAAAAGTCATTGGTAATAATGTAACATTTATACTCCAAAAGCATAAAGCCATAAACTGGAAAAGTATTAAAATGAGAAAATTGTTTTGCAATCCAAATTAGAGTAGCAGGAAAAAAGAGCTTGGGAAATTTCATATTGAGAGTACAGACTTCCTACAAGTACCACAATTTCAAACACTTGTCTTGATACAGTTCTAAGTAGAGCTGTAGTAGGACATCACTGATATTTAGCTAATATTACAAGACAATTAAAGCTAATGTATCTAATTTTATCAAATATTGAACTTTTGAAGCAAATTCCAACATTACCAGTACCACACTCCAATAAACAAAAGGCTTAGAAGTGTAGTAGTGTCAAATATCTAAACCTTCATGTAAAACTTGAAATGTTATCCAGTGCCTTGAAATTCGGCAATTGAATCTAAACGGTTCAAAATCAGAATCAACACATCCGCCAATATTAAATTCATTGTTGCTTGTGTAATTCCCATGCAGGTACTTCTATAATTTACTATCTAATATTTTCATAATAACGCATAACTAAAACCAACTCAATATCTGACCTAAGAGATTGAAACTTTTGGATGTAATTGAAATCATCTGATAGTAAATGACCTTTTACATCCGTCAATATTAAATTCATTCTTAATTGTGTAATTCTTATGCAGGTACTTTTTTTATAATTCACTATCTAAACTTTTCATAATAACGCATAACTAAAACAAACTCAATATTTTACCTAAGAGATAGGTTCTAAAATGAAACTTTTGGATATATTGGAAATCATATGATAGTAAACGACTCTTGGATGCATGAAAGGACTAAAAAAGAAAGCATATTTTTGTTGTTGGAGGGATTGTTCCTTAAACTAACTAACTTAGCACAAAGGAAAAAAGTAATGCAATAACCACTAGACACAACATAATCGAAGTACTGAGGAACCAAAAACCATAGACATACATTATAGGTAACATCAGGCTTTTCTGATTGGCTTAGCAGAGAGATGCTAGAGTCAGCCTCGGGAGGCAACACATCCACAAGAGCGTTCGAGTGGCGATGAAGAGCAACGGAAGCGGAGGTTTTGAGAAGCTCCCGGTTAATGGTGCTGAGAATCCGGACATAGTAATTAGATCCAGTGGTAGAGCCGACGATGGCGTTGCTCTGGTCGATCATCTCCATGAACTGCCCAATTACGAGCGGCACCGATTGGATCCGCTTGACCTCCTCCTGGGCTCGGAGGTGCTCGCGCCTCAGGTTCTTGAGCTCGTCCTTGACGTATTCCTCTTGGATCTCAATGAACTCGATCTGTTTCTGCAGAGATTTCAGACGCGAGTACAGATCGTCCTCGCCGTCGTAAAATACGTCTTGAACAGATGTGTCGGTTCGAGTTGCCGGTAGCTCCAAGGCAGGCTTCGGAGTAGGAGTAGGGTCTAGAACCATGGGGGTCGCCATTGTTGCGGCTTGGAGCAGGAGAGTCGGGAGCTCGCGGAGAAGGGAATGGTGTGAGAAGCAAGAAAACTAATGACAGAGCATCGTCGTGCTTAGGTCTTTTTTAATTGATCTGGTTTTGCTTACGGATAATATACTGTGTATTCCTGAGAAATATGGAGTATAAAGATACTCCGTATTTATCAGCCCATTAGAGCCCAAAGTAATTTCTTAGACCATCAAAGCCCAAATACACTAAAGACCAATTTATCGGACTATCGCAGATTGCGTTCCGTTCAACTTATTTTTTCTATTTATTCATATTATAATCATATCAGAACAGATCAGATAAGATCAGAAATAACTTTAATTATAACTGCAATCATATTATATCAGATCAGGCGAACGGAACATAACCTAAGACAAAATCCTCCAAATAGGAGTAAAACATACGGAGTATGTTATATCCTCAAAATAGAAGTTTATATTTAAACTCTTTTAAATAGGAGTAATTAACTAATTTAAGTTTTGGCCAACATTTTCTCTCTCTATGATAGGGGTTGTGTTCTTCCTTTTGTCTGCTCCCTATATTGCCATTACCCTTGAATTTGTGGTTTGTTTTTCTTGATTTTTAGCTCTTTATAATCGTCTTCAGCAGCTCTTTATGATTTTGAACTTTTCGTTACTGATTTAAGGCTGAATCGAGGTCAATTAAAATTAAAGTCCCTCAAAGTCACTGATCATTATGAGACTTCGCAGGCCTGTTTTTGCTAGGTTTTGGCCAACTTGAAGCCTAATTCTTGAGAGATTGTGAGCAACTGGCTTAGCCCATCGATATTCTTAAGTTTATTGATCATTCCAAACAAAGGTTTTTGTTTTTTGCCAAGATTGGGTGTTCGAGCAATGTTCACAACGCGGCTTAGAATTACAATCCTGGGTCGGTTCTTGTTGAATCTCCTCTCATTTTTTTGGTGTTCATTGTGCATTTGAATGTCTAACTTTATACATTGGTATGATTGTCACTATGTGGTTACGTGTGACATTTAGTGCGATCTTATTTGACACTCTATATATAGACATTTTAATGTACAAATTTATTGAGTTTCTATCCATGAGGCATTGATATAGGTCCACATACTTATTGATTAAGAATCGCGTTCATCTTTTCCTTTACACTGAAAATTACGTCTTCATTAGGCATCTATTATAGTTTGTTTTTTCTTTTCATTTTTGTGTTTGATTATTTTTCTTTTTTTTTCATTGTTTATCTATCAGTTGTGTTGAAATTTTACTCCCAATTCCTACAAAATTTGGTGATAGTGATAAGAAACTTTAGATTGTGAGTTGGCAATCTTGATATTTCACTTTTTTTGACATTTTATATTTACATATTTGGCATTATGCGATGACATATTTGTCTGTATGCCATTGTCGTCATTGACATTGTGACTTTGGTTGGCATTATATTGAAATCTTTTTTCCTTAGTAGCGACACTATGGGACTACGGTGGCGACAATGGCAATCTTGGTCCCAACATTGGCAGCAAATTGTGACATTGACAGTAGAAAATGGGGCGATGGAGGCGGCATCCGCAAACCGCTAAGACTTCAAACGGTAAGACCCGGCTAGTTCAACCGGTCAAACCTTTTTTGTTTACAAAAATTGGCCAAAAACCACACCGAACCAGTTTGAACCGGTAAGAACCGGCCAGTTCAACCGGTCAAACCATTTTTTTTACAAAAAATGGCCAAAAACCTTACTCCTTAGGATTCGTCAAACCATTTTTTTACAAAAATTGGCCAAAAACCTTACTCGTTATGATTCAACCCTTTGACATCTTATACATGATACTCCTTCCGTTCTAAAACTTTCTTCCCACTTCCCCTTTTCCCCATCCTAAAACTTTCTACTCACACCCTTAAAAAGGGTGTGTAATGTCTAAAATACCCCCACCTTCACATTTACGCCACAACCACCACAACTCCACATTTACGCCACACTATCTCTTCTACTCTTGTACTCTTCGCCTCCTCTCTCTAAACCTAGATCTAGATCTCTCCATGTCGCCGTTTCTACATCTCTCGTCCTCGCCATCTCTGTGTCCTCCTCTCCGTCTCACCCTCTATCCGTGTCTCTGTAAATTTCTTCTCCCACAGAATCCTAGATCTAATCTTCATCCCCAACATTGAATTTTATGTTACATATTTGTTTCAAGTAATATATATGCTCTATACTTAAAAGAATAAATATGTATTAAAAATATTCTATCTTTTTGTTAAAACTAAAATTCTTAACATTTAAAATATGATTGGTATTAATATGGAGCACTTTTCGTAAAAAATCACTTAATTTTTTTTGGATTTTATCAGAAAAAATATATGAAGAAAAATAGAAACATCATTGTAAATCACTCTAATGTACTTCTCAATATGTAAATTTTACTTTAAATATAAATGCATATTAAAAATAAAATAAATTTAATATAACTTGAATCAAACATCATAAATATTAATTTAAAATGAACGGAGTATTATTTTTACTTTACACACACACACATATATATAGGGGCCAGTTCAGGTGAGAATGCATCTTGTTGAAAGAAATATCTAGCCGCTGGATCTGATGCATCGTGCGGCTCAGATTGCATCCTGCACTCAGATTTTGAGATAGTGCATTTTCAAAGGATTTTGGTGCACCTAATTTTGATGCAATTCTAACCCTTCGATCTCACAATCTAAAACATCAGATTCATTTTTATTTCTTTCATAAGATTGCATTCTCACGAAAACTAATATATATGTGTGTGTGTGCTTATATAAAATATGTTTAAACCACTAGTTCGACCACTTGAACCACTAATTCGACCAGTGAAAGATTGATACTTTATGCAAAATGAAGTAAAACTATAAGGTTTTTAAATTCATTTTATTTAAAGTTCAGTATATAAATAAAAATAAGTCTCACATATTTAAAAATTGTATCAAAAGTTCTACAAAAATTAGATGACAAAAATATTTTATTTTTATCTAATAATTAATAAAAATCACAAATAAACACAAGTTTTCATAATTTTTGATTTATAAAGTGTACCAAACTTTTAGGGACAATGCGAGTACTTTTTAAACACTAATGAGACATTTATTACCAGTGTATGTCAATGTCATATTTTTAGAGACTAAATTTGTGATATTCTGTCTCAAACCTGTAACAATAGTTTAATAGCAATAATACTTTGTAAGTTTATATTTTTTTTAGATTTATAAAGTGTTGTGCATAAATATAAGTAATATACGGATCTAATAGTATTTAGAGAATCGGTCTTTTGGACTAGTCATAGTCTTTAAACCAAACTTTTATTAATCTCGGAGCAGTTTAAATCCCGAGCATATCCTCTACTAGTCCCCCCCTAACTAGTCAAGTCCTCCATACAAACTATGACCATTTGAAACTATTTGTCGTGGACTAGATTAGTCTTGAGAACCACTTCGATCTTAATATTTCTAGTCCAAACCTTGCTTGGACGTTCGTAGTTGACAATTGCGCTGGGAAGCAAAGAACTTCCTCATGTACCATGTGTAAGCTTTACTTTTACATTAGTATCTCATGACATCACTTTTATAGTCCAAATCTTTCCGGAGCATGCTACATGTACTCTAAAAATTGTACCCATTTGTACACCAAAGGTAAGCATCAACACTTTGATGGTTCACACTGATACAAAGTGTTGACGCGTTAACAAAAATTTATACTAATATAAAGTGTTGGTGCGTTAACAAAAATTAACATTGCACCAACATAAAATATTAGGTAGAAACACTTTTATCCTATCTTTCCAGGTCTCTTTGCTTTTCTCGGTCCAAAAGGTGGAATCGCCCACCCCAAGCGCCCCCACCCCCTTGCCCGACAGGAATGGTGGAGGATGTAAATCATGGTGACTCAGTCAGCCAAGAACACTAGACCCGTGTCCACCGCGCACAAGGAGCCTCCTCACCCTTTATGGCATTTTTGGATAGCTCTCACACTGCTGCTTGCGGGACTCGATCCCTCGTCATCGCTCCAAGTTTTGAAGCTCTTGTACCAACTCAGCTACCCATTGTGGCCTCTTTGCTTTTCTCTACTGTGACCGGATCAAAGATGTCGCTTCAATTCCCATTTCCCCCTGTCATCTTCATCCTATACCACTGCATTTACACCGCTCAACTGACAACCACTCCCTCCAACAAATTGAAAGCGCCAACAATTTTATCTTGTATAGGCATTCCTCTAATAATAACAGAGGACTGCTTCTTCTTTAATCCATCGCTATCGCAATTATAACGATGATTTCGAAACCTAGCTACCCAATTCGTCCATGTTGCTATAAGTCCCGGTCTATGGCCATCCAAGATATCATTCATGCTTTCTCGGCCCTCTCACCTTCATCTGGGCTACCCATTGACCCGTCATCTCTGTTCCCCATTCATCTGTAAGTTGCTGAAATAATTTTTTATAACTTTGTTTTGGATTTTTTATGATTATATATGCATCTTTAACCAAAATGGCAATGAGTTATGATGATATTAGCAACTGTTTGATGGAGATTGAAAAAACAAACATATGATGATGTTAGCTTTCGAACTTCATCTCATTTTTATTTCGTGACAAGGTTGCAATATGAAGAGTGAAATTATGTCCATATGCTTTTTTTTTCCACATTGAACTTATAGTGTTACCTAGTTTTAAAATAACTGGCTTCTATATTAATCTTCATGCCACCAACGCCAATATATTGATGATTAAGGTGGTGGTTATGTTAACCAGGTCTCGTACTGTGCTCTTGAACCAATCCTTATACCAGATTCAGAGTTACACTAATTATTTATAGAACTGGAATATGATCCTTCTTGTTGAATGTTATTATGTGTTAAGGACTTAAGGTCTCTAGGTAATTTTAATACTTACATGTTTACATTGATTTTCTTTACAAAAATGATTCAGGATTTGGTTAGGGGTTGTGGGTGAAATTACTAATAAATTTATCATTGTTATCTAACCGGTCCGTCCGCATCGTTTATGATACGGACTGATTTCATTGTCCCACACCGGTTAAATGGGGGACTTGGTGATGGGTTTATATAGCCAAGGGATCTCCCACCTTAACAACTAGCTTTTAGGGTGTGGCTCTCCCTTGTGTTGTATCAGTTATCTCTTCTTTAAGTGTTAAATTTGGTTGAATAGGTTTTGAGAATGGGGTAAGCTATGTTTTCTTCTTCTACTCTTGTTTCCATATTTGCTTCCTTGTTCTCTTTATAAAAGAGGTTGAATACTTGAATGCCGAAACATTCTTAATTTCATGGTGTCCAAGGTTAAGGAAGAGTTTGAGTTTGAAGATTTTGAAGAGTTCGACATCTCTGACATGGCCAGCTCAAGAATTTCATTATATGGAGTGAGCTTCTTTACTTGGTGGATTTATTGGGCTTTGTTGTTTACAGAAGTAAACAGTGAACTTACCCATCCTGATGAAGGCATGAGAATTTCTGGTTTCAAGCTATTTAGCTTACCGTCCTTATATGTCTAGTGTGGAGTACTTCGTATAATTTAATGATATATATGGCGTGGGATGACTTTAAAATGTTAGAAAGAGTTCAAGTTAGTCGGAGTACAATGGGATTGGTAAAAAGCTAAAATAAGATTTATAATAACAAAATACTCCCTTCGTCCCAAAATAAATACTCCGTAACACACTTTCCATTTTGGTCGGTCCCAAAATAAAAGTTCATTTCCTTTTTTTGGCAAGGAATATGTAGCCATCATTATTTCTCTCTATCAATTTGAAACACACTTTTCACTTGCGAACACTTTTCTTGAACTTCATGCCTAGTTAAACCTGACTTTTAATTTGGGACGGAAGGAGCATATAATGAATCTTTGAGATCCTGTGCAAATGTTTGAAAGAGTTCAAACTCATTTCCTTTATGAAAAATAAAATCTCTGTTTTTACAGAGTATTTGCTAAACAAGAATGAATTAAATTGAATAGAGACAACATTTTATAGTTATGAAGTCCTTGTAGGGATTGTGTATGAGGGTCGTAGGTTGTTTGCATATTTTTTTCCTCAGTCCTCACCCTAAAGAGTCAGTGGGGATCCTCTTAAAATAAATGCTCTACTCCTTGAAGCAGAGATCACGTCTGCATACACCATGGCATACATCCTAATTCTCTTGGGTGGGATATGCTAGATTTGTTTGGCTTGGCTAGTAAATTTTCTAGTTTTGTGCAGTGGGGGCATTGCATTCCATCAAGGAAAGTCTGGTTGACCCATATGAGAACCTCAGAAATTGGAAGGGAGACCCATGCACCTCAAATTGGACTGGTGTAATATGCTACAATGCAACAAAGGATGGTTATCTTCATGTTCAAGAACTGTATGATTTAAATTGTGCTTCAAGATATTATATTCATAAGGCATGATTTGTGGTCAATATACTTCATTATTGTACCACATATTTTGTTTGTAACATTTTATAACTTTTGAATATAAATCCAACATTATTACTTCTCCATTCTGTCATGCACCAGACAACTTCTAAAACTGAACCTTTCTGGAAGTTTATCACCTGAGCTTGGGCGCTTATCTTATATGAAGATACTGTAAGTTGAGATTTCTCATGATTATCTCTCACCAAATCATTTTTTGCTATGCAGTCTGTACCCCTCCTGTCATTGTACTAAACTGAATCTTTTATTTCTCTTTTTGCTGATGAAAGAGATGTAATGTGGAACACAATTGGTGGGAGTATACCGCACGAGATAGGGAATATTACATCTCTGGAGTTATTGTGAGTGGAAGTTTCTCATAACCTACTACTTCTAATACTCATATCTCTTAGCTTACAACAACAACAACCCAATATACTTCCAACTCCCTCGGGGTTTGGGAGTCTAAATGTATGCAATCTTACCCTTGAAACTAACAAAGAAGTTATTTCTGTTATATCCTTGATGCATTACTGCCCAAAACTTTATAGCTATTAAGAAGGTAAGGAGGGTTAATGTGCCATTTTGTTTAAGTTCATTATTTACCAGAGGTAGTGGTAGCCAAACCAGAGGGGGTTGGGGGCATGAGGGAATGAGCGTGGGGAATCACTTCCCGTCCTTGATAACGAAGCAAACTAAGCAGGGCTTAGGGCTTATGTAGTGTTCTAAATTTTGTTCTAAATATCTAATTGGTTTCTTGTTTCTTCCTGCAGGCTTCTGAATGGAAATAATCTGACAGGTTCCTTGCCCGAAGAAATTGGGAATCTTCCAAACTTGGACAGGATACAAATTGATCAGAATCATATATCCGGACCCTTACCTGTAACATTTGCAAATTTAAACCGAACAAAACACTTGTAAGGGTGTGGCTAAAATTCAATTATTATATAACCTTGCTACCACTATGTAGATTTGGTTGTTACATACTTACATGAATGGTTTCTGCTTTTCAAATGCTGATAACTTAAATCTCTAATATTTTCTTTCTTGACAGCCACATGAATAACAATTCAATAAGTGGACAGATCCCACCAGAGCTTTCTAGACTGCCAATGCTTGTGCACTTGTAAGTTTGCTTAAAGGAATAAAGGTTCTAACTTATGTTAAATAGTGTAATCTAACTATTGATTCTGCCTCTATGTTATCTCTTTATTTTGAGAACTTTTAGCTACTTTCTGGGATTCATTGCCTAACACCATGTTTGGTTCATGTAATTTGAAAGGGGAAAACAAGAAAATGATATGGAAAACAATTTTTCTTGTTTGGTTAGACATGAAAAGAAATGAAAAGTGGAAGGAAAAGAAAATGAGAGGAAAAAATAAAACTAAGAAGTGGGAAAACAACATTCCTTCCATTTTGGTGAGGAAAGGGAGAGAAAACCTTTTCTTTTCAATTCCTTCCTCATTCCTTGAACTCCTTTGAACCAAGTATAGTTTAAGAGTTTCTTGCTTTGTTCATTTTTCTTGCAAGAGAGTTTTATTTTACACTGTTTACAATATGTTTCTTGCTGTTTTTTAACAGAACTAATTTTACAGATTACTTGATAATAACAACTTATCTGGATACCTTCCACCAGAACTAGCTGAAATGCCAAACTTGCGCATAATGTAAGCTGTCTTTCTTTCTTGACTTCACAACAACAACAAACCCCCTAGAATCCCACATAGTGTAGGGTCTGGGGAGGGCATTTGTAAGCTGTCTTTCTTTCCTGACTATGTTAGAGAAATATGATGCCGAGTATTATTTATTATAGTTTAAGATCACACGTTTAGGAAGGTGAAAGGGAGAAAATCATAGAGATTGACGTATTACTTGGCTGTCACGTATGCAAGTTTAGCACATCTTAGAAGATATAATGACTCCCGATATATTCACATGGTGCGTTATATGATACTGAAGAGCTCATCTCAAGAGTTATCTCTCTCCTGTGGTTCTGCAGCCAACTGGACAACAATCACTTTGAAGGAAGCTTGATACCAGATACCTATGGAAAGATATCACACTTGCTGAAATTGTAAGCAACGTGTCAAAGTCACGTCTTTTGTTCTTTATTAGTGTTATAGGTATGCGGTGATGCCAATGCTTGACACATGCAATGCCTAGAGTATTTTTTCCCTCAATATGAGTAAATGATAAATTATTTTATTGAAATCTAATTTTCACTACGAAGAGTCGAAGAGGTATGATGATATTAGGTGGTACATATGGTAGACCATTTTATACTACTATATGTGAGATCTGATGTTAAGAATTTATAATCAAAGGGCACAGCTACTGTTCTTGTTTCTCAGGAGCCTCAGGAACTGCAGTTTACGGGGACCAGTACCGGATCTGAGCAACATAGACAACCTTACATACATGTAAGCTATGTTCTTCAAAAGTCTGCCTTAATGTGAATTTGTATGTGATGGGACGGTGTATGTTGGCGAACAAAAGGTTTATGCTCTTGTATGAATGTGTTGTGTAAAAGCACAACTCTTTTTACGGGACAAGTGTATGTTGGCGAACAAAAGATGTATGTTGTTTTCCCCCACAAATAGAGTCCTATTTGAATAAAAGCACAACTCATTTTACGGGACCAGTGTAGCATTTGATTACACCACATTACAACTCTTAAAATAAGATGAATGATACTTAAGTGCAAATCAGTGTTGTTAGAACCAAAGTGGACCGGACCGGCTGGTCGGCCTGCGAACCGGATTGTATTCCGGTTCGGTTCAATTGTAAACCCCTCTTTCCCATTAGCCCGCCCGAACCCATCCCACCCAGCAGAAACAGCGGACCGGCTTGATCTGTCCGGGTCGCGGGCTTAGATTTTTTTTAGGTTTCTTTTAATAAAATAAAATGACAGGAATAAGATTTGAACTCAAGACCTTAGCACATAACACTTGAACATTCTAACCACTTAAGCTACTAAACAACTTGTTACTTAAGTTATGAAAAACAATATACAGAGAATATAGTTTCTATGATGAATGAGTTGTGTGAGTTTAAAAAAAAACTTCTAACTATTTGTAAAAGTGAACATTTTGGTGTGGTACTGTGGTGAACTTACTTTATACTTCTAAAATAATTGAATGTAAAAAATAAGATTATTTATTTTTTATATTAAAATAATAATGAATAATTTATATCTAAAAAACATATTCATTTATAGAAATCAAGAAACATCTACTAATTATAATTAGAAATAGAATTATAGAAAGAACACAAATTTAAACAATTATTCTTGGCATTATTTATTTTTATCTAAAATTTTTTTGCCTAAAATGTATACTATTTTGAAAATATGAGTATTGTCTTATTATTTAAGAATTTGTGAGACATTCACTATTACTCATAACTTTTTATAATAACAAATATAATAGAATAAAAAATAGAAAGTGTGAAAAAGAATATGCACAATGATTTCAAAAACAAGATGAAGAAGTAAAAAACACAAATTAAATTTTTTTTATTAACTAAAAATATCTAATAATATAATGAAAATAATAATTATTTTAATTATATTGGACTGGGTCGTTGACCCCCGATTGACCGGTTCAACCAGCCCTTGACTCACTCACTCGTCCGATTCAATGTCGAGTCCGGTTTTCAGAACGTTGGTGCATATGGATTCTTTTGTTGCCACTAAATTGTTATTACCATCTACCAAACTACAGATCACTTTCATCTCAATTTAATATTTGTTTTTCACATTGTAGAGATCTAAGCTTTAACCAGCTTTCGGGGAGTATTCCAACACGTAAGCTCTCTGATTATGTCACAACCATGTAAGCACTTTAACCTTCCATTGGACCTGTAAAGTGACACATCTCTTAATTATTCCTCCCGCCCATGTATAATGTTCCCATTTGCTTTTTACACATAGTGTACTGCGTACCACTGTACCAGAATGAAATTGTGTGGTTTAGATTTATTTAGATATGAAAAAATCAATATGGACCACACAACTCTTTCCTTTTTCATCGAAAGGAAAGGGGAATATTAATCAGGGACGGTCCAGAAAGGAGAAGGGAAAGATAAAAAAGGGCGGCTGGAATATTACTAAATCATCTCAACACTGTACTCTTTCTGAATCTACTACTATTTATTTTCTACACGCTGCAGTGATCTATCACACAACAATCTTGGTGGAAGTATCCCTACCAACTTTTCCAGCCTCCGTAATTTGGAAAGATTGTGAGCCTTTCTCATCTGTCATTCTGGAAATGTTGTGATCTAAAAGAAAAAAAGATATAGATTTTTATTCTATCCACTAAAGCTCACACATGCTTGTACTGGTATTCAGAGAATGTTTTTCCATCTTTGCAGGTCACTTGCAAACAATACATTGACAGGTTCTGTATCATCTATTTTTTGGCAAAATAGGAAACTCCAAGGAACTAAGAAACTTATCTTGTAAGATCTGAAATCAGAAAAGATTTCTTCCTTAAATTCCTTTGTTAAACTGTGTTCCGAAGAAGAATAAAGGTACAACATCATGGAAATGCTAGAATCTTACCATTCTAAAGACCGAGTAGAAAACATTAATTTTTTCTGTTCTCTTTTATGCTCCTAACTCCTAAGTTTATTACGTCAATGGAGTGTTTCGTCATTTGATATCATTTAAATTTATAATATTGGTTACTCCAGGGATTTTCAGGACAACATGCTTTCAAATATATCAGGAAGCCAAATCATTCCACCAAATGTCACTGTCAGGTGTGTGAATTTACTCATTCTCTTCAGCATTTAGGAATTCTGTTACTTTTTACTGAAATGAACTAGACGGTTACTGCCAAGTGTGTGAATTCACTCATTCTCTTCGGCATTTAGGAATTATGTTACTTCTAACGGAAATTAACTAGACCTTGTTTGGATTTGTTTAGTGATCAGAATTGAACTACTGGGCATCTGATAAAACCACATTTGGTATGACTGAAATTCGCTTAATTTCTAGAAAGCACCTAAAACCCATGGTGAATTAGAGGCATCTGATTCCCCTGAATCCAAACACACGCATCACACTCCATTTCTGGAAAACTGGAAGCAGATCTAAACAAGGCCACATATTTAAGATAACAACTGCATAACATAAGCAATATAACATGCCCTTTTAACTGAATTCTGCTAATCTTTTTTTTCCTTCAAAATTCTTTAGATTCCATGGAAACCCCTTGTGCAAAAATGCCAACACAATTGATGTCTGTGGCTCTGTTGATTACAATTCTAGTGACAACTTGGACACCAAAGACTCCACTTCCTGTCCCATCCAAGGGTGTCCCTATCCTTATGTATATGCCCTGCCTGCCAATAGTTGCTTCTGTGCATTACCTCTACTTGTGGAGTATAGACTAAAGAGCCCTGGATTCCGGGACTTCCCACCACACCAGATGGAGTTCGAGGATTACCTGACCTCTGGACTTCGGCTGAATTTTTCACAGCTAGACATTGATAAATTTACATGGGAAGAAGGCCCTCGGGTAAAGATAAGCTTGAAGTTTTTCCCAACGTATATTCCGAGTAACAGTTTTCACACATTCAATAAGAGTGAACGCCTTCGGATCATGAGCATGTTCACTGGATGGCTGATACCTGATAGTGATCTTTTTGGACCTTATGAACTTCTTGGTTTCACCCTACTGGGCGATTATAAAGAGGGTAAAAGTTGCCTTACCCTAATCTTCCATCACTCAGGCCACTAAATTTTCTCTTTTTTATTTCTAATTAATACTTCTGTGTGTGCGTGGGCGAATGTCATGGGGGAAAAGTGGTTTTGGTATGATATCATATTATCATTATAGCTGTATGATGTGTTATGTGTTTTTTACTTGTATGCTGTGTCATGCCTTGTCCATCCCAAAAGAGAGTCATGTTTCATCAGAATGTATTTTTGTCTAAGAAAGACTGCCCCATTTCAACAGAAAAGTTAATTTTCACGGAATTCAATGTAATATTTTCCAAAAAGATGGTTCAACCAAGGTAAGAATGTTAAATTTAGTTGAACAAACAAATGATATTTCAAATATAAGTAGGATTGATAGTTTACCAGATGTGTACCTTACCAAAATTGCAATTTGTATCTGAATGAACCATGATTGTTTTGGGGATGGACGTAGTATGTATTACCATCTATACTCCCCACAGTCCATCCCACTGGTTACATGAAAGCCTTAGAGGTGTCATTTTTCTTATTTGGCAGATTAAACATTGGTTTACTAATGTTGTTTGTGTTTCTTGCAGATATCCCTATCCGTTCAGAATCTTCTTTAAGCAAGAGATTTATTGCTGGTATCATACTCGCATCAATTTTTGGTGCAGTTACAATGTCTGCTTGTGTGGGGCTCCTCATTTTGAGACTGCATGTGCAAAAACACCATTCAACTTCGAAAAAACATCGATGTGAGCATTTTAATGCATTCCTATTTTCATAAAACTGAAATTGTTGGAATATTCATGACATGTTACACGGTCGAATAATTGGAGGTTTGGCAAAGATATCTCATGTCGTCACGCCCAGATTCACTTTTAGAGTTTTAGGCCCTAGAGGATTCTTTAGCATTCACAATTGACCTAGAGCAAGTTCTTTTGGTTGGAAAAGTTAACTTCCAACATTTTCCAACTCCTTCAAGTTTTTTCAAGCTCCAATTTTTTTTACGATTCCTTCTAGTTTCTTCCAACTTAATTTTTTTTTTAATTTTAGTTTGTTTAACTCCTTTCATTTTTTCCAATTCCGTCCAATTTTTTCCAACATTGACTTAGATAAGTGAATGATATATTATATATTTCCCTTTGTAATTTTGTAATATTCCATAATCATATATTTCTTTGAAATGACCTTAACTTTTATTAAATTTTAATTTCTTAATTATTTTATTATCCATGTTTATAACTGAATGTATTTATTTGTTATAAAATGATTAATCTATTTACAGTCACACTTTATAAAAAAATTAGTAACATATAAATACGTTTTCATTGGGTGAGATTGCCTTAAATTAACGATGTGATGTGATTTATTCTTTTTTGCTTGTTTTGCAACAAAACAAAGAGTTTGCTTAGCAATGAAATTAACATTGTCAAGTACACATGATGTGCATGTTTTTAGTGTGCAGAAAAAATTTGTTTGAAATGAGCATTGGGTAACTTGTAAATGAACATATGACGAATCTACAACAATAGCGTACATCCAAATTTATAATATACCTCTCAAAGACGCAAAAAGACATTCTTTGTTATCCATATTTTGTTCTCTACACATTTATTTAGGTGATATTTTGCTTTTCATATGTAGTGATTTAATTAATATTTCTGAAATAAAAATAATAATTTTTGCTTGGGTTATTCTTTTGATGCATAACACTTGTAATTATTTTAATGTATAAATTGCAGTGTGATATTATTTTTATTGATCAAGATAATGTTGGATTATTTATGTCAATATCTTTTTTCAATTGAGATTAATAAATAAAATATGTCCCCCTTTATCCTCTATTTTTGGAGTATGGGTTAGTGACATGCAAATTAAGAAATAAAAAAATTATGTTATGATGTCGTTGTTAAAGTGCATGAAAAAAAATAAGTATGAGGGAGTTACAAAAATATTACTACGTACTATACATTTGGTTTGAAACAAAAATAGTGTGATACAGGAAAATATAAAATAAAAAATCAAAATAAATTGAGTAAAAGTTATTTAATAGAAAGAAAGTATTTCAAAAATATAATATTCATTTCCACGTCTTTTATTTTTTTCTAAGATTTTGCAACTTCCAGTTTCTTTCAACTCTTTCCAATTTCTTTCAACTTTTTCCATTTTTCCAACTACTTGCACTTTGATTTCAACTTTTTCTAATTTCTTCCAACTCTTTTCACTATGTTTGGTTCAAGAAATTTGGTAAGAAAAGAAAAGAAAATGGTTTTCCCTCATTTTCCTCACCAAAATGGTAGGAATTTGGTTTTCCTTCCTCTTAGTACATTTTGCCTTCTCTTTTTCTTTTCCTTCCACTTTTCTTTTCTTTTTCTCTCTAACCAAACAAGAAAAATGTTTTCCATCTCATTTTCTTTTCCTTTCCGTCTCAAATTCCTTGAACCAAACATAGTGTTATAGTTTGTTTCAACTGTTTCTAGTATCATGACTATCATCCAACTTTTTCCAACTAATTCCAATTTTTTTCAACATCTAACTCTCTTTTACTAACCCAAAAGAACAAGCTCTTAGTGAGAAATGGATAAGATCATGTTTGGAATGTCAGGGATTCACCCAATTTTCAAGAGTTTCATAATTCCCTGGTTTCCTGATTTTCTTGAGGAGTTCTGCTTCTTTCTTGAATGAACATCAAAACTGATATGTTGGCAATGTTACTGTTAACACATTTTCCCCATTTTACTGTTAGATTCTTCTTTTTTGAAGCAAAAGGTTTTTTCCCCTCTAAAAACTCTTATTCCTTGAAAACATTTATTCTAACTCGATGTTCATGTGCTGACCATGTTTCCTGATTTAATGCATTGGTTATATTTTTCACAACATTGCCGGCTCTGATTGTCACATCATTTTGCAGCTTCGGTCTCTGTCAAAATTGATGGTGTAAAAGACTACACTTTTCAAGAAATGGCACTGGCAACAGAAAACTTTCATGACTCTTGCATTGTTGGACAAGGAGGTTATGGGAAAGTTTATAAAGGCATTTTGGCTGATGGAACAGTTGTAGCCATCAAACGTGCTCTAGAGGGATCCTTGCAGGGTGAAAAAGAGTTTCTTACAGAAATCGAACTACTTTCTAGGCTACATCACAGGAACCTGGTGTCTTTAATTGGATACTGTGATGAAGAAGGTGATCAGGTACTTCATCACTTCATTACATCTTTTTTTTACAGAAAACTTCATGAATCATGACCATTCAAATGCGGAACTTTTATGCTAAGACACAGCCCTTTCTCTTAATAGCATAAGAAAAGCAGGGGTTTAGCGTTATTGGCCCCTTTAGGGAGTATCTAATTGGAACCATTGGCCCCTATCACCCTATGTCCAAGCAAATTCATGCACACGAACAAAAAATGCGTAAAAGATGACACTACCCCAATCTTCTTCATTAAATTACTCCCTCCGTCCCAAATTTGATTACAAATTGGGATTTACGAGGCAAAACCTCCCACCTTTTCACATCATTTTATTTACAAACTGGTATACTGACAAAAAACTAAAAATTACATATTAAAAATTACATCAAAATTTCTACAAAACAAGAGGTGACAAGAATGTTTTATTTTATCAGATAATCAATGAAAACTCACAAATAAACAAAACTTATCAAGAGGATAGAGAAAAAAAATTGTAATAAAAATTGGGACGGGGGAAGTATATGATATGTGTGTCTGTTTATTCCCCATTTCTCTTTTTCGTTCATTTCTTCTTGAACTCGCCCTACCCACAGTAGCATTTATGTCTCACTTCATGGGTATTAATAGACAACTACCAGGCTCTTTAATGAAAAAGAAGATGATGATAGGGTCATAGAGATGTCTTTTACTTGATTTAGTAGCACGTTTACGTGTTTTTTGTGCATGTGTATGGCTCATTCGACATAGTGGCCTGGATGCCACTTACGTAAAAGTTAAAACACAGGGGCCATTTAATTATAATTAACACAGGGATCAACGGTGCCAATGTGGTATAACACATGGGCAGTGGTGCCAAAACCCTAAGAAAAGCTATATGATGAATGTAAGTACCTAACAATGTGATTCAGAAGTTTGAAAATCACATGTTTCATATTAAAGGTGGCAAATAGATGGATTAGATAATTTTACCAATTGGAAACAATCCATGAGTTCATTTAAGATCCATTAAAACAATCTTCAAATATCCAATTAATCCATTATCCTTTTAGTAAATCCATTTAATTAATAATTTTTCTACGAATGAATATTCAATAAAAATTACAGATCAATGCACATAATGATACTTTTGCATACAGTACATAGTAATCAATGGAGGATTAAATTGTTAATTGGTTTGAAAAATTCAATAGTTTCTGTGGATGTAGAAGATTTTCTAAATATGGTCCAATGAATGAAAAAATTGACAGATCACCAACCATCCAAATAATACAAGCTATACAGAAATTTGGTGGCTTCATATTTTGCAGTAGTTTAATTTATTCTCTCTTTTTCCTTTACATGCAGATGCTTGTTTATGAATACATGTGTAACGGTACTTTGAGAGATCACCTATCTGGTATGTTCCTACTCGTCATTTTGCTAAACCCATTAAATCTAATTATACTTGGTGCTCTGAGTATTGCTGTGTGTGTCTTATATATAGCCAACACATCAATTCAAACCATCTTTCATATAATATTCTATTGGTTTTGTCTCCAATGTTGGACAAAAATTAGATCTATATGAATCTTCTAATGATCATCCTGGACCATAATGAGCTACTTCTTATCCTGGTGACTATAGGAAAATTTAAAGAATCTCTCAGCTTTGATATGCGGTTGAGAATGGCGCTAGAGTCTGCAAAGGGGATTCTGTATTTGCATACCGAAGCTGATCCGCCTATATTCCATAGAGACATCAAGGCTAGCAACATACTCTTAGACTCAAAGCTCACAGCTAAAGTTGCTGATTTTGGACTCTCAAGGCTTGCTCCTGTTCCTGATCTTGAAGGGGTTTTACCTAACCACGTATCAACCCTTGTTAAGGGTACTCCGGTATTCTCTCTCACTTCTTTTTTTTCTTACAAACTTGCCTTCTATTTTCCAGTTTAAGCTTTTTTTCTCATGTTTTCCTTCACATTAGTAGTTATGAATCATGAGGTGATGCTGCACAGACAATGAGGCACAAGGAAATATGAAATAGTGAAAACATGTGGAAATGCCTTTCTTCAATACAAATATAAAATAGTTGCCTGAAATGTTTCCTTTGAGCTAGTTTTGAAGAAGTTTCTAAAATGTTTTTTGAAATGCTGAAATTCTATTAAGAGTTCTTGTGCACTGTGTACTAAAATACCATTGTTCACCATTGAAATGTGTTTTCAGGGATACCTTGATCCAGAGTATTTCCTAACACACAATCTCACAAGCAAGAGTGATGTTTACAGTCTCGGCGTTGTGTTTCTTGAACTATTGACTGGAAGGCACGCTATTTCACACGGTAAAAACATCGTTAGGGAGGTAAGTTTTTCCCTTTTTTTCGAGTATAATATTTTGATTATTTCCAAGCATGATGCCGTACTCACATTTTTTGGACATGCTTGTGCTTCTACCGGCACACAACAGGTGAACAATGCATGCCGTGAAGGCATGATATTGGATGCCATTGACAAACGGATGGGACCTTACCCATTGGAATGCGTGGAAACATTTGTTACTCTTGCCCTCAGGTGTTGCCGAGAAGAGACAGATTCACGGCCTTCAATGGCGGAAGTCGTTCGGGGGCTCGAAGGTATATGTCGTATGATGCCGCCGCGGGGGGATAGTGGGATCAAAGAATCGTCTCAGTTGTCGAGCGCCGATGCGACTACTACTACTACTGATATGGCCAACAACCTGTCGTCCCCTGCATCGTCACCTATTCAACATTCTGATGTCTCTAGCAGTGCCCTTCTCAGTGGTATTCTCCCTTCCATCTCTCCCAGATGACATCTTCACAACTTCCCCAGTTCATTCCAGTCACGCCAAGTTTGAATTTGACACCAAAGTTTGACATCACGTGTTTATATACGTACACACATAGACAATCATTATCCGAGCCACGGACAATGATTGTCATTGTACGCGCATGTCTGCGAAGCACATGTTGTCAAACTCTGACGTTTATATAGAATTACCCAAAAATCATAATAAATAAATGAATATGTTCAGTGGTTTGAGAGAGAGGACAATTTTTTGTTTTCCTAGGTTTATTTTTTGTGTTGCTTTTGCAAAATTTATTTTACCCGGACGGAAAAAGTGACCCATCCAGTTTTTACTTTTTTGTTGATGAAATGTGAGAATATACTGTACTACGTATTTGTTTGTTACGGAGTAGTTTTTTTTGGGACGGATGAAAAAAGAAAGGAGAAATGTTTTCTGGGACGGACGGAGTAAGTATTATAATCATTTGTATCGTAATTTGATGACACAAATTATCTAATAGTTTGCTTCGTAATTTTTTTCATAGTTTAACTTTGCTGGATTTTTGATAAATGGATTGATTGTGTGTGGTTATGAATTGTGTAGAGGAAAGAGACCATATATGAGCCACACAATCTTTTCCTTAAAAGGAAAGTGAAAGAAAATTTTGAGACATTCTTTAAAAGAATGAGAAGATAATTATGGGATGGAGGGATTAATTTCTAAAAATGGACTGACTTGTTAGCAGTAAGAGCATTTACAATATAGAACATCACGCCGCTCGGAGGGGCGGGGAGAGTGGCCGGCGCGGCGCCGTTGCAGGGAAGGGGAGCGTTTGGCGCAGCCCGCTGGTTGCACGTCGGGATTGGGTTGCGGGTAGATGGCCGGCAACGGCTACCATTGCAGGATTCCGCTGTGCTGCTAACCCAATTTTTTTATTTTATTTATTGTTATAATTCTTTTTTATTTTATTTTTATTAATACATAAATATTTTATTTAACTTAAATAAGTTTTCAAGTAAAACTGATGACTATTACAAATTACATGGAGAGACATGGTGAGAGGGAGAAAATATTATACTCCCTCCGTTCTACAAAACTCTTCCTCTTTCGTTTTTTGCTTTCCACAAAACACTTCCACTTTCTATTAAAAAACCACTTTTACCCCTACTTTTTCATACCATATCTATCACATCATACTTTTTCACTAATAACTAAACTATCACATTTTATTTTTTCCCATCACATCAGGGGCAAAATTGAAAAGTCATTCAAAATTACACTTTTCTTATTTTTTTCCAAAGTCAAAATCGGAAGGGTTTTGTGGAACGAAAAGAGTAGTTTTGGCCTAGTGCAGAAAAAGAGGAGAGAGGTGGGGCGAGAGGGCGCCTATTGTAATTTGTAAATGTTCTTATGGACCAATCTCAATTTCACTACAAGAATTCACGCGTTTTGCTACGGAATACTTGCGACAGACATAAATCTATCGCAAGTCGCCCATATCCACCTAACGGCTAATCTTAATTTTCATATTCGCCGGTATAAAAATTGGGCTCGGTCCAGACCGCCCATATGGATAATTATTGTTGCCCATACCCACCTAATTTTAAGGACGAACAAGATGGGCCGGACGGGCCGATCTAGGGGCGAGCAAGAATCTTAATCCCATTGTCTCGAGTCAAAATATCCCGGTTCCATCCTTATAATCTTTCGTTTCATTTGAGATGATAAATTTTATCCCGAATGCATTTCAAACTGTTTGAAAATGGAAAGTGATCGGGACACAAATAGTTTCTTATTCCGTCTTATTGTCATGTGTGTTTGCATATATCTAATTATTTATTACTTCGTACTTCAATGAAATAACACAAAAAATATCACAATTTTATTTTCTTAAGATAGATACAAATAGTATTTAGATTCAAGTATTAATTCGCATTACTTTTTTTATCCAAGTTAATAAGATTTGTACACTAAAATAATTTTTTAAATGTTTATCTAAGTTTTTATTACACTTTATATAAGAATTTATAATGATGTTTGTATATAGCATTTGAATTATTTTTACGGGTTAACAAATTACATAATAATTTTTTTAGGTTTATAGTTGATAAAATCTTTAATTAGGACGTTTCAAACCGTTCCAGACTTTCTCAATCCCGAAATAAATGAGATAAAGTATGACAATATAATGTCCCAAAAACCAGAACTACGAACGACGCAACTAAAAATTCAGACCATTTCTATCCCTGTTTACCCCTAGGCCAACCCTTATTTAAACAAATCTAGAAATAACCGAGGCATGAATATTTTAAAATAAATACACTAGAAAAAGTTTGACAAGTACTACGTATTACGAAAGGATGAGTACCTATACCATAAATTCATAAGTACGGTGTTTCCCGTACATCCACATGAATACTCATTGTCGAGTAACTAAATACGCATTTTTGATTAATAGAATACTCAATGTTCATTTTCAAGCATAATTGAATTTTAGAGAAATGAATATTTAGTTACTCGAGAACGAGTATTCACTTGCTCAACAATGAGTATTCAATTACTCGTAAATGAGCAATCCCCGCAGATGTACGAGAAATACCGCACAATCGGTTGTACGATATATATCTATATTGTATATTCAGGTGTACCTAGAGCTAGTTACATCCAGCAAATGTTCATTTTGAATCACTGTGGTGTTTATTCTGAAGGAACATAATGTTCATTCCAAGCCTGCTTAGCATAATGTGTTTATTTTAAAACAACATAGTGTTTATTCTGAAATAACATAGTATTTTTTTTGAGATATTTTTTAATTACAAGTTTGTCATGATGTACGCAGGGCCAGCTTGGATATTTAAAAAAATGAGATTAGCCTTGTGCAAAAATCACGTGCAGGCCCTAATTTTATTTTTTGCACAATGTTTTTGCTTTACAATTAGTACTAAATTTGATTTTTAATAATCACTTTTACAACAGTTTGAATAATAAAATATATATACTTATATTAAATTTAAAACTATCAAGTAAGACTAGCCAATTGTTACAGGGGGATGCAGATGCTACAATGATGTAGATGTGACATTGATGCAGATGTTACGGTTGATGTGTGGGAAGACAAGGTTGGATAGGATTCCAAACAACATTATTCATGAACAGGTGGGAGTGGCTTCTGTGGAGAGTAAGCTGCGGGAAGCTAGGCTAAGGTGGTTTGTGTGTGTAAAATGGCATGGTGATGAGGCTTGAGTGTAGAGATGTGAGAGGCTTTCGGCGGTGGGCGGGATTTTGGGAAGAGGTGGACCTAAGAGGACATGGAAAGACGTGGTTAGCTAGCCAAGAGACTTTTGGCCCTTACCGAAGATATGACCTTATGTGAGAGTATTTTTGGAGAGATAAAACTATGATAGTCGGGTAGTACGGTGGTAGGTTTCGTGCTTAACAATGTGTGCTTTTTGCCTACTTTTTGTTTTTTTCTGCATGCTCTATGCTTCTGTGTTACTCGAATCGGGGGTCTATTAGAAACAGTCTCTCCACTTCCGAGTAGGGGTAAAGTCCGCGTACACACACCTTCTTAGACTGTACTTTCGTGGGATTCTACTGGGTTGTTGTTGTTGTTGTTAAACTATCAAATAATTAGAATAATGAACATCTAATAATATTGGATCCTCAAAATTCTAATGTTCTGAAAATCAAACCAGACATCAAACCGAACTAGCCACTGGGTACTCGGGCCAATGATCCGGTCAATGACCCATAACTTTGTATAAAATATTCATGTTTATGTTTAGATAATAGAAAATTAAATAAGAGTCAATTTCCATAGCAGTCTTTTTTAATACAATGTTTTCTCAAATTAGTCCTCAATAAACAATAATTATCATGTGGTCCTTTGTAATTGAAATATATATTTTCTAAATAGTCCTCTCTAATTTTTTTTATAAAATGTTAGTTAAATAGAGGGTATTTTGATTTTTTCATCATCTAAACTATGAAAAAATTCTCAAAACGGTCTTATCAAATTAAGTGAGTGGCTGCTAGAGATTCGGACCCACCAAGGGTAGGATCATGGACTCCATTTCGAGAAAATATTTCCGAGAAAATATTTATTTAGAAATGATCAGTTTGGAAGTATCTTAATAATAAAAGAGCATTTTGAGAACATATTTAAGTCTAGGTGATAAAAATACCAAAGTACCTTACATTTGATTAATATTTAATAGATATTTTTCGACAGAGGATAATTTGGAAATATATTTGAATTACAAAAGACCACATTGGTAATTATAACTTATCGAGGATGAATTTGAGAAAATACCTTCTAATAGAGAGCCATTTTGGGAATTTACTCATTAAATAATGCCATATTTTGTGAACTATTTTTAAAGATAATAAAATATCATCACATAGCATAAATATGCATATTGTTTCAAAATAATGCAAAGCATATACTCCCTCCATCTAACTTTAATATTTGGACCGGACACACAAATTAAGGAAAGATATAAATGTCATTTTCAATGTTAAATAAAATATTTAAATTTGTGTTCTTTTTCTTTTCCATATTATTTTCAATGTCATTATTCATATACTCTTTGACATTTTCTATATTCTATTATGATTAGTACGTACTTCTTCATTTTATAAATGACAATATTTGTTTAGATATAAACCATTCATTATTATTTTAATATAAAAAATATTTATTTTTTACTTTGAAATATTTTAGAAGTTTAAAAAATAGTTACACTACACAAACATGTTCTTTTTTATAAATAGTTAGAAGTTTTTTTAATTCACTCAACTCAAACAAAAAAGACTATATACCTTTTTGTATGGTTTTAGTAGCAAGTGTTTGATAGCTTAAGTAGTTATAGTAGAGAGTTGTGTGATGAGGTGTTAGAGATAAAAGAAGAAAGCGGGATTGAAGAAAGAAAGTGTTAGAGACAAAAGAAGGAAGCGATATTTAATTCTTGAGACCTCAAATACGCTTCTTCCCCTGTCGGTGAACATACACAATTCAATGCCTATCGGCGGGATATTGTTTTTTTTATTTTCTTTGATTGTCCTCCCTCATTCTTGAAGAAGTGGTTGGACAAGGGTTGTTCTACATAGACAAACAACTCTTTCTGTGTCTACTATTCATGATCGACCGGCATTGCATCCATCGATTGTCCCCTGTTGCTGCTGCCGAAGTGCCGGAACGGTCGACCGTTGCTAAAGAACGGTCAAGTGGGTCTACCGTCCTGACGACAATTTCTCTTGATCGTGGCTACTGTTCACGATCACCTGGCATCGCGTCCATCGATCGTTGTTTAGTTTCTATCGTTCGTTGCTGCTGCCGAGTTCCGAACAGTCGACCGTCCTATAGAACGGTCGAAGACATCGACCGTCCCGTCGGCAGTCTCCTGTTGTTGGTCTCTTGGATTTGGAACACGATTGATCCAACCTTGAGATCCAACATATCGTATGTGGAAAAAGCTTCAGATCTATGGAAGGATTTGAAGGCCCGCTTCTCTGTGGTTAATGGACAGAGGGTTCAGCAGTTGAAGCGGGAGTTGGCGGAATGCAAACAGAAGAATCTCACCATAATGGAATATTATGGGAAGATGAAGAAGTTGTGTGACGATCTTGCAGGTTTGGAGCAGTTCCCAATTTATACGTGTAGGAATTGCATGTGGGACCTGCCGGAGAAGCTTGCGCAGATGCGCGAACTGAGGGAACATTTTTTATGTCCAAGTTTTGCATGTTGAACTCTCATGCTCCAACTTGAGAGGTGGTGTTAGAGATAGAAGAAGGAAGCAGGATTGAAGAAGGAAAGTAGAGACAGATGAAGGAAGCGGGATTGAAAAAGGAAACTGAATCCCTTTGGGATTAGGTTTAATATCTTTACTAGTTGGATTAGATTTAGTATTTAGTATCTTTCCTAGTTTTTTTAATTCTTATTTTAGTAGGAATAAAAATTTCCTTATTTACTTTACTCTCTTTCTATATAAAGAGGGTTAGATCTTTGTATTCAAAACCAAATCACAAGCCAATTCAATATACAGAAATATTTTCTCTCTTATTTTCTACATGAGGTTTTGTGTACAAATTCTATCTCCAAGATTTTATTTTATAAAAAAATGGAAAAAAAGTTATGGACAAAACCCGTGAGCCGAGCGGGTCGACCCGATCCACCGGGTGCACTAGGTTTGGTCGGGTCGATACAGATCCCAATTGAACTGGACCAAAATGCTCCCGAGTTTGTGGCCTGGCCTGACCATTGGACTATCCGATTTGGTCCGATTCTAATAATATTCCAAAACTCAGGGACCATGCGGGGAAGCACACCTTCAGGCCGACTATGAATGTACGATACATCTGGCTTGTACGTAACCATATAATTTCCTGAATGGCGCCTCAACTCATGAATCATACAAGTAATAACAATAATAATACTCCCTCCATCCCTAAATATGTGTCATACTTGTATTTTTGAGGTAAAATATCAACTTTTTTCAATTCATTTTATTTACATATTGGTATAGAAATAAAAGAATAAAATTTACATATCAGAAAACTACATGATAAATTCTTCGAAATAAAATGTGTCAAGAATATTGTATTTTATCAAATAACCAGTGAAAATGTAGAATTAAACAAAAGTTCTCGCGACTATTACAAAAGAAAGTGTGACAAATATTTTGGGACGGAGGGAGGAATTAATACACTCAAAGGAATTTTATTTAAGAAATTCATCCATGAATGAAAATTTATAAGCAAAAAGTCGTAGAAAGACACATGCACGCGTAGAGAAATGGTAGGAATGAACAGCTAGCATGTGATAAAGGTATTATGAATTATTAATTACTCATATAATATCCCAACACCGACCGTCCCAGACAAACCTCACTGGGAAAACATGAATAAACCCACTCCTAATGTTTCATTAAAAATGTGTATTTATTTATTTATTCATTAAATCCTATTTTCATTCTGATAAATAAAAAAAAAGTTGAATTTTCACTCCCAAAATATTCAATATGGGTGCGAACAATACTCTGTCAAAAATAGACGTTATTTATTGCCGTCATTAAAGAGTTAAACTTGATTTCATAAGGATTTTACGATTATGATTGGTAAATTGTTAGTAAATAGATTTGATGCCATATCTACAATAGATATTAGTAAGTATTTTTTCGGTTTCTTAAAACAATTCTTATTTTGACTTTAGAAAAAAACAAGGAGTATATATTTATGGATGACTTTCCAATTTTGATTTTGATGTGATGGATAAAAGTAAGATGTGATGATAGATTCTTAATGAGAAAGTAAGGTGATAGGTGAGATAAGAAAAAATAAAGATAAAAGTGGTTGTTCAATAAAAAGTGGAAGTGTTTTAGGGAAAGATATCAGAAAAAAAGAAAGAGGAAGTGTTTTAAGAAACGAATGAAGTATAAAAGTGATTTTTAATAAAAAGTACTCCCTCCGTCTTAAAACTTTCTTCCCATTGCGCAAAACGAAGAAAAATCCCAAGTTTTTTCAATCTATTTTATTTAAATATTGGTATAGAAATAAGAAATAAAATATACATATTTAAAAACTACATCAAAAGTTCAACAAAACAAGTGGTGACAAAAATATGGGCTTAAGGTCAACGGTGTACCCATAGATGAGCTTGATAAGTACTTGCTTATTATTTTGATGAACATTTTTTAAATTTATTTTTTCTTAATAAAAAAAATTGATTTTTATGGGAGAAGATCCACAATTTTTTTTGTGTATCTTAGATGTATCATAGAAACACTTTTTGCCATAGTAGTATAATCTATTTATGTCTTGCTTAGTACTCTCTCTCTCTCAATTTATACTGATTATATTGGTTTGCGATATTTGAATGAAATTATTTTTAAATCATTTTATATGAAAATTGATATATAGTTAAAAAATAAAAACTACAGATTAAAATACTAATCAAAAGATCTACAAAACTAGTAGTGACATGACTATTTTATTTTATCAATTGACTAACGACAATAGAAAAAGAAAGTAAATGAATTTTGATACAATGAATAGCAAGCATACAATTTAATTTGGGACGGAGGGAGTACATCTTTTAATGTACTCCCTAATTTTTAAACAGGTGTTGCTAAATCTATTTTTTTGAATGCACTAAATCCACTTTTGTTTTTGTTATATCTACTTTATTTATGACAAATGTTTAAATATATCTTTGGGGTCGGTTTTGTACACGAAATTGATAGAATTGGAATTGAAATTCTATGAGATTGATTTGGATGAAATTGAATTCTCCAATTCCAATTTACTTTTGGCACTATCGACTCCAAAATCACATATTTTTGTGCATTCAAGGTGTTTTCTTTACTTTTGTTTCAAATCGACGTGGGGGTAATTATAACGCATTCAAAGTACTTTCTTTATTTTTGTAATAATTATTAACTCATGTTTAATAATTAGGCAATCTGAAATAGTGTAAAATTGAATAATTGTTGAGAGTAGTGCTGTAAATTATTTCATTTTGAAGTATCATCGTAAAGTTAAAAATTTCTCATAGGATAAATGTGAATTTTTCCTAAAATAATTTTAAAACAATTACAAAGTTTGCATCCGGAATTCAACCGAAGGAGAGAGTATATATGACAACAATTTTTGAACGAATCAAAATGCGAAAACATGACATAAAAAGCTGAAGAGTTTAGTTAGACTAACAAACTACTCCGTATTTTTTAAAAAACAAACAAACTATGGAGTACTCCGCATTTATTTATTAAAATACTTCTTTCTCCATAAAATTTAATTTTTCCTTTTTATCTATCTAAAAAATAAATTTCACACACTGCTATTATTTCAGTATTAAAAAAGTGGGTGGGTGTTGCGCAATTGGCAAGACAAGTGGTGTCCGAGTTCGATTCCTGACAACTGCGATAGCAGACAACTATGCTAAGCAATATGTGATTAAAGTCTAATTTACCTTTTTTCAGTGACCGTTCGATTGGGTCTGAGAGTGCCGTCGGAGATGAATAAGTAGATTACCATTTTTAGTTCCTAATAACAAATTTCAAACACATTTTCTTTTAAATTTTTGAATAATTTTATGGAGTCAATTTATTTGGCCCGCCGACGTAGTATGACTATAAAGGCACACACAATCATATTAGAAATCACAAGCTTCCTATCCATTTCCAACAAGTGGTCCAGCCCTCTTATAAAACCATTTCCTCTCTGAAACAAAAACCAAAAAAAAAAAAAAATTGAGCTTGTGTTGTGTCATCCAAAATCTAGAGGTACATGTTTTTGTGTTTGACATTAAAGTTGTTTGTTGTTATATGTATTTGTACATGTCCCCATTTAATCAATTAATCTCTTCTTGTTCTTCTTCATCATCTTCATATTGTTGTTCTTGTTCAATTGATTTTCATATTCAAACCTTAAACAGATGGGAAATTGGAGCTGGTCTTGTTGTCTTCTGGTTCTTGTGGTGTTGCTGGTTAAGAATGTTGATGGAAAAGACATCCCTTTAACACTTCTTGACTCCAACTATGCTACCCAGAGAGGAGCTTGTTAGATGCTCAACTTTATGCCCTTTTTTTGTGTGTGTTTGTTTGCTTTTAGCAGCAGCTTTGATTACTTCAATTGTTTTCTTTGAATGTTTGTGGTGTAGTTTGCTTGGATGGGAGTCCGCCGGGTTATCACTTTGACGCGGGATCTGGTTCGGGTGCTAACAACTGGCTTGTTCATATGGAGGTTAGTCGTCCTTTCGGTTCGGATCGTTATACATATGGTGATCTTGAGTCCATTCACAATAATGGAGCTTCGGATAAATAATAGACTCAATTGAAATATGTTAAAGAAGAGTCCCACATCGGAAGTTGAAGAGAAGAACAAACGGGTTTATAAGCTTTTAAGTCGAACTAAGTAATTGATTGGATTCAATTTTTTAATGTGGTTCAATCCAAGTGTCTTATGGCTCAATCGGGTTACCCTTACCCATCTTAGATTTTATCAAAATAGTACTACATCAAAGCTTCATTTCTTTAGAGACATAAGACTGTGTTAGACATTGTTAATTGATGAATGTGTTTGAATTTCAGTCAACATCATATTTTTCTAACAAAAATGCTAGAAACCCACCAAGTTTGACACCAAGAGTTTTGCAGACATGCGCGAACAATGACTGTCTATGTGTGACACACAAAGATTGTCAAGTATATGTTAGTGAAACACTTGGTGTCAGACTTGGTGGGTTTCTGACTAATAGTTTCCCGGGTTTCATGCATTTTGTTTTTGAACCATGCTATAGACACACCAATATTTTGGGGATGTATATTCTGATGTAAAACATGTGATGAATGTGGTAGGGGGGTGGATGGTGCGAGACAATCGAGAAATGCCAATCCGTGAAGAAGATTTACAAGGGTTCATCATCCCAATTCGAGAAGACAATGGGCTTCTCTGGGATGCTAGGGGGCGTGCAGGCTGCCAATCCCGGTATGAATCAATGCTATCTTATTAAACATTACCATTTATCAGTTACATTAAACTGATGTGAGTTTAATTACTTTGCTTTGAATAGATTTCTACAACTGGAACAGGGTTAAGATTAGGTACTGCGACCAATCTTCGTTCACCGGTGATTCCATGGACCCCAAAACTGGCCTTTACTTCAGGGGAGAAAGGGTCTGGCAAGCCATCATTGATCAACTGTTGGCCAAAGGAATGAAAAATGCCCAAAATGTAAAACCTTTTTGTAACTTACATTAAATAAATCATGCTTTTAGTTAGTTTTTTTCTTCTTTTTCTGGTGTTTCGTGAATTAGTATTTAGCATTTGATTAAGTAATGACTGCAGGCTATCCTTTCGGGTTGCTCGGCTGGTGGACTTGCTGCTATTTTGCACTGCGACAAATTCCGATCTCTTCTGCCTGCAACCGCTACAGTCAAATGTGTTGCTGATGCTGGTTACTTCATCCATGGGTATCCCAAAACAAACAACTACTATATATGGAAACTTTAACCAATCTATACATAACTTTTATAATATGCAGTATCGTCGTCTCAAACTTACTTAAACAATTATTATGCAGAAAGGATATTACCGGAGCTTACAGAATCGAGAACTTCTACAGTCAAGTAGTCCAATTGCATGTAATATAATCCCTCCCTCACAACCTCTCGTTTCTCTGCAAATCATGTCTTCGAATATATTTTTCTCTTGTTTCTGCTAGTGAAAGGAATGCATACTCTTGAAGCACTGTTTAAATGGCGCTTGTGTGTGTGTGTTTTGCTTGCAGGGATCGCAAAAGAATTTGCCTGCATCTTGCACTTCAAGAAATAAACCTGAATTGGTAAACTCTCGCCTGCCCATTTTCTGTTCGTTCTTGTTTGAGATTGTTAAGGAAGTGATTCAACCAAAAGCTCAAGCTTTCTAGTCCAAAACCCACGAAATGTTATACGTGATAGAGTTTTTTTTTTTTTGCAGTGCTTCTTCCCAGAATATGTCGTACAAACTATGACCACGCCGCTTTTCATCATCAACGCAGCATATGATTCCTGGCAGGTTAGTGTTACCAACCACTCAACATTCATTCGAAACACATAATGTTTGGGCAAGGACTTTTGGTAACGGTCGATCTTTGTTCTTTCTGTCAGATAAAGAACATCTTGGCACCCAAGACTGCAGATCGCAGTGGAGCCTGGAAGAGTTGCACACTTGACCTAAAGAAATGCTCTGCCACCCAACTCGCCATCGTACAAAGTTAGTTCGTGCCTAATAAACCTACTCATTTGGCCTATACGACACTTACACTGGCCTATACTAAAAGTTGAATCCAATTGATTACTTAGCTCAACCAGACATATTACTCTGAGCTTATCATTCTAGCTTCTTGCTTGTGCAGACTACAAGGACCAATTCCACAATGCAGTGACATTGGGTCTTGGCAACCGATCATCGTGCGGATACTTTGTGGATTCATGCTATGCTCACTGCCAAGCTGGATCCGCGGCCACTTGGTTAGGTGACAAATCTCCCCGACTAGGCAACACGGTAAAAAAGAAAATTTATATACATACATACATAAAACATGTGACACCATATAGTTGCTAATCTACGCATGCATAACTTCTCCAGAAAATTGGGAAAGCCGTTGGAGATTGGTTTTGGGGTCGCGCGACGTTCAGGAGCTTCGATAGGCCTTACCCTTCCAACCCAACATGCGTCGATGGTGGCTCCGAGTCGTAGACGATGAATGGAGTGTTTAGTTGTTGCAAGAGTGACAAAAAAATGAGATGGTTAATTGAAGAGGGTATTGAAATGTCACTTTTTTTTATATACTGTGCAATTTTTTTGAATGGGTCATGGAATAAATGGAGGAGGAATTCATGCTGTTTTGCAGCAGCTGATGCTCTATCATTGTTTGTGTAACTTTAACCATATGCTACCCTTTGGACAATGCATGTTCAAATTGTATTTCTTCAGCACTTAATTAATCTAATATCTGTCAATAAAGCTTGCTGTCATTTTCCTGTATTTTCATTAATCTTAAGTGCGTGTGTGCACACTACAAAAGAAGTATATACTCCCTCCGTCCCTAAATAGATTACATTTTTTTTCTCTCCTCTCGATAACTTTTGTTTGTTTGCGCGATTTTATTAAGTATTTGATAAAATAATATATTCTTGTCACCTCTTGTTTTGTAGAACTTTTGACGTAGTTTTTTAATATGTAATTTTTATATCTTATTGATATACCAATTTGTAAATAAAGTGATTTCAAAAAGTAGAAAATTTTACTCCGTAACCCGCAATTTGTAATCAAATTGGGGACGGAGGGAGTATGTTTTAATGGAGTTTTAGAAAAATGTTGAAAAGTCGGAAGAAGAATGGTTGAATTTGTTTAGATTTTGAAACACATATTCTTTTTTAAAAGAAAATGAGAGAAGTGAATTGACGAAAAAAAGAAAATGTAAAGTTTATTGTAAGACAAAGTGAGCATATACTTAAACTCGAATAATAATGATTACAGTGATATATCGAAGATCATACAAAATATATTGGGAAGATCATTTTAGGAGAGATGAAGCAATACAATTAACAACAATACTTTTTGCAAAGTTTGGCTCTCGAGCTGAGGTGGGAGACCGATTTTGACAGCGGCTAAAAATGTTAGTTCAAAGTTGTTAACTAATCTTTTCGCAAAATAAAAACTTATGTGTTAATTGTTTGACAAACTAAAAATCTCTATTTATAAGGAGATATTTTTATTTAGGCATTTACCCTATGTTGGGTTGGAGTAGTTAAGAAAGAAAGGAAAAGAAAATGCTTTTTTCTTTTCCTCACGAAAATGGAAGGAAACTTGTTTTCCTTTTTTTAACTTATTTTTTCATCTCATTCTATTACTTCCAATTTTATTTTCTTTTCTTTTTTCTCTATAACCAAATAACCAAAAATGTTTTTCATATCATTTTTTCATTTATCTTTAAATTCCTTGAGCAAAATATAGTGTTAAAGTTGATGAAGTTTGCTACGGTGACTGAATATCCTGTCAAAAATTCTGTGATTCAGATCAAAATATTAGTGCTAGAATTTAGACAGCAATCCGCAATATTAGAAATGAAGTCTTAATGAAAATTGATAGGACTTACTGATGGATTATGATATTACCTAATCCAAAATTATTTGAACAGTACAAGTAAGCCCAATTCTGTCTAGCCCAAAATATTAATCAGATAAATTATTCAAGACGGAGCCAGACATATATGGACAGAAGAATATATTTGAAGTGATTTAATGATATTCAGCGGGACTCGCAGAACATTATCACATGGAAGCCACATGGGCTTGACATGGAGGAGGTCTTCTTTTGTCTCCATCAATCACTC